AGTCCCTCCTTCAAAAAAATTGCAAAATAAATTTGCATAGTGCTTACCATTTCTTTGTTTTTTTTTTATTCTTCTAAATCTAAAGGAATTAAATAATGTAGAGATAGTCTTTATGAAAGGTAACGTGCGTTCATACAAAGATCGAAACTTCTATTTCATTTTACTAAAACAAATCCTTAAAGGGGAATTATTTAAATCATTTGCGTATAAAGAAATTAAAATTATATGTAAATGGCGCTTTTACTATTACTTTTCGAATATATTTAACGAATTAACTTGGATTATTCAAATCACAATTCATGCTTTTTTTTTTACACTATTTAATTATGTTAAAAAAATTTTATAATTAACGGATTGTGATATTTAACATTTGACGATGTTATTTTAAATGCAAATTTCCTTAATTAACAGATGGTTTAACATGTTCCCTGTCCCAATACAAAAATGCAAAATTTAAAAAATATTTTTTTCGTATGTTCCGGCGTTTTTCTTTACATTATTATCGTAGCAGTACATCTAGTGCAGAAATTGTACAGTTCCGTTACGTCTAGTCGAATATTTTGCTTTAGAAATTTCATATACTCCCTGACGCACATATGACTCAGGAACGTTTCAGTGCTTATCAAGCGCACATTTCCTGAACCATATGTGATTCTCAGCGGACAGGGAACGTATTAAGAAAATAATTAAAGGTTGTACTTGATATTGGTGAATTCACTTGAATTCACTTGAAATTTATAATTAAATTAAGAACTAAATTCGATTTAAGCATTTGTTGCTTATAACCACAGAATTATGTTTAGTATTTATTTGGTTTAAATCACAAAATATACACTTACTTTTTTAATTACAATTTAAAGATATGATGACCATATTACGAAACCAAACTGTATATAGTTTCATCTATGAAATAAGAATGAGAGACAAAAAAAAATAAAAATAAAAATACTAAACAAAATCATTGAAATCCTTTTTTGGCTATCTTACTCGTATTTTCATTTGCTACTCATCATTACTCCTCTTTCACAATTACTCCTCTTTAATATTAATATTATTATGAATTTTTTTGAATTCGATTTCTCAAAACCCTCATATAGAGCGCGGTAAAAATTCAATTTTATTTTTTTTATATTATTTTTGGTCTGGTTTGGTTATCTTCTGCTTTTAAAATACATTCACAAATATTTGTATACGTTCAACATTCTTATATTTTATATTTTGTATCATTTTCCTACCCAAAAATTGCCAACTATACATATATTCTTGTATATATGTATTGTGTGTATATACAATTTGTTTTTTTTCCATATTCGAATATGTAATTTTAAAAAATTTGCGGTAGTAAGCAAAAATATTGTATAACATAAAGAATAATAACAATAATACAAAAAAAATACCAGAAACCAAAAAAAAGGAAAACCAAATCAAATAACAAAACCAATTTCTAATTTACTATTGCAGTATATATATATATATATATAAAGCATAAGCAGTCCTTTCGATTTCTGGTCTTGAATACAGAACAGTACACAAATAAAATAATGTAAGGGAACGGTTAATAATACACAAATAAACAAAATAAAAATCAGAAAAGAATAAATTAAACTTGTCTTGTATTTTGTATGCGAATTATATTCGAATATATTTTTTTTGGTGGGATGAGGAAGAGGACGAGGAGCACAACAATTCCTGTTTTTTTCTCATTGTGTGTTTTTTTTCCATTATATGTACTTGCAAAGAAGCTTCTTTTCTATAATACCATCCTTTCAAATTCCAACTTATTATTATAGTTCTGATCCCTTTTTTTTTCAAATTGTATTAATAAAAGAATTCACCAAAAAATACACCAAAAAAAAAAAGCATATTAAAGAAATAACAGAAATAACAAAATATAGGATTCTTGAGAACAGCAGGAATTTTCTCTCTTATTATATCAGAAATAAACCATTATTACATAATTATATGCTCATCCCCATTCATAAATTAAATATCAAATGCACTAGATCAATATGAAATGTGAATAAGAAAAAACAAAAACGAGAAAAAACCAAAGGAGCAAGAAAGAGTATAAAAAAAGAAAAAGTTTAAAGATGTGGCAAATTGATGTTACAGATTTTTCAGTAAAACTATTTATTTTCAGCTCATATCTCTACTCTTTTCCTTCTCTCTCTTCTCTTTACCTATATTTATTAAACCAGAACGAAAACCACTACTCTACTGCTACTACACTACACTCTTTCTCTTTAAAACTCGATTAGTAAAATTCTGTTACCAAATAAAAAAAAATTAAGAGAATACGAAGAAAAAAAATTATTTCTTTTTTGTTTTTCTTATTTTTTCCATGTTTTCACTTTAAGATATTTGGAAATAGACAAAAAAATAAAAAACAAAGATAAAAAAAAAATAATACGTACACAAAAAGGATATTTATGAAACCGCATTTTATCCATGCTTTTTGTGTATATTTAGAGATGTGCTCTTTTTTTATGTTTAATGCTCTATAGCGTCAGACCACCTATAGATTGTGACGTCCGTTATCTTGTCCTAATATTAAATCTGTATAAATATAGAACATGAATAATTTATAAAAAAAAAAAACAATAATAAACAAAAAAAAAAGAGGTGTTTTTCTTTTCTACTTGTTTTTCTCTATTGTCCTTGTTGTTTTCATATATGGCATTTATAGTAAAAATTTTTTGCTTTCCGTATTTTTATTACTACTTTGGTATTTTTGGTGTTGAAATTGTGTTTTTTATTTTATTTCTATTTTTTTTTTTTTTTGTTTTTGTTATAAAAGAAAAGTTATAAATATTATTGAAATAAGAAACATATTGACATATTTTTGGCACTTGAGGTTCAATTAAATTGTTATTATTGTAGAAAATTTTTTTTTTTATTTATTAAAATTTGAAAATTAATAATTTTATTTATTGATTTATTGGAAATTGTATTACGTTGTTATACTGTGTAAGGGCTGTAAATAAATAAAGTGTCTGTTAATGAAATTATTTTTCAAAATGACAAAATGAGTGCCAAATTCGAACGGTTCCTTATTTTACATAGGAACAAAAAATTTTTCAATAATATCCAAAATGACCGCAATGCAAGTGAAAATTTTTCAAGTTTTATTTCTTTTATCATTTTCGACCCGGCTTTCGAAAATTGTAATTAAGATGTGTTAATATGTAATTAAGACTTGTTATGTGTAGCACATGCTTGAATCAAGAAATTTGGAACTTATCACCTTTATATAAAACAAACTGTCTGTGATGAAAACAGTCGAATCAAAGTTTACTGTCCCGAATCATGCAAAAACGAAAAGGTACGATAGCTAAACAGATACAGTGTCATTTTTAACTTTTAGGGATGTTTTGCACTTTAGTGGTACATATGTGTATTAACCAAGGTGAAAGTTTTAATAAAATTAATTAAAATTTTAAGTATTTTCCTTAATGAAAATTTAAAATTATTCTTACATGAGGCGGTCCTTACTAGAACACGAAATGAATTCAAAATTCCTGACAAAACTAACACCACAATTATTTCATAGTTTAAATGAATAGGAAAGCAGGTTATTATCAAGAAGTTTTCATAATTAATCAATATTGTTTGTTCAATTTATAATCTATATTGAACATTTTTTTTTAAAATCAAATAATTCATTCGATGTTTTAAGTAGCTCTATAGCTTATTTAGTTTTGTAATAATAATATGTAATTATATTGCATAATAAACCTACAAAATTTATAATAATTGCGAAATAATTGTAAAAGTTTATTATATAAATATGTTCTTATTTTTGAAAGTCATTAATACTATTTTAAATTTTGTACAAATTCAAGTATTTCAAAAATTATAAATTGGACAATCATAAATAACAATTCGATTCAAAATATCATGACTCCATCTTTAATTATGCAGACAAAAGTCCACTTAGAATTGATGATTGGAATGGGTATAATCGGAAAGTAATCAAAAATGTGCATCAATGCTATACCGATGTGATGCGTTTACCTTGTTGATGCAATATTATTATGACATTTTTGGACACTTTCTAAATCATATATTTTTTGGCGTTTATTTCGAAAAGTTTTTGTGTAAGTATATTATAATTCTAATTATTTAGAAAATAAGCCATTCTTGTGATAGAAATTAAAAACCTCAACCCGTAACAAAATATATCTCAATAATTTTAATTTTTTACAAATATAAGCGATGCATAATATAAAGTCACAAATTAAGCTCAATGAAATATCTAATACTTAATATTAATTAATTTTTTTTCAAAAACCAGAGAGTCTTCTATAATCTCATTGTACTTTAATCGAACAAGTTAATTTCGTTAATCGATTAAAGTAATGTAGCATAATTTTATTGTAATCCAATTGGCACGAATTGCATTTATGAAATTTGAAAACATTTAAACCGCAATTTGAACAAACACCGACGATTTTCAATTTGAAATGATAAATAATAAAATTAGGATTCCACTGCTAATATTGATTTATATACCTAATACCTAGTTATTAAGAACAAGTTGTTTTAGAAATTGTGTTTAACTAGCTATACATATGTAGCTTTAATTTTTAATTAAATTGAATAATATTCCATTTATAGTTTGGAGAATAAAGTTTGCGAAAATGATTTTAAATATTTTAAAATTAATTTAATATTACTAGGCAGTTGACCTTCCTATTCGAATTAGATACTTGTAGACATTTTGTAATTATGATAAAAAACTATTTGTAGTGTGTACGTATTTGCTTATTCGGGCACCTAATCTAAGAATTGTGTAATAACACCATGTTTCTGAAAATATAAATTAGGTATATTTTTAAATACAATTAACGATATCAGATTTTAAGACGTGAGATTTATCCACAAGCCGTTCAAATGTATTCTGACATATTTCTTTAATATAACAATGAAATTTTAATATTCGGTCTAAAATTTGATCCTATTATAATTTGCCCTTAATATAATAAAAACTAATATAATAATTTTTAAAAATGAAATTTTAATGCCAATTTATTTGGTTATTTTCATTCCTTTGTCCACCATCAATATTAATCTTTATTGTATATTAGTGAACTTTTATACATGAGATCTGCTCATAATTATCCTTCATCTGTAATGATTTTACATCAAACTAAAAAAAAAATATAAAATTTTAATAAATTATTTTTTATATAATTTGTCAGATCTATAATATTCTTAAAATTATATAATATATTCTTACATCAGCAAATGTATTTGCTAAACTATTTTTGAAAAAAACACCAGTTTGTTGTACAGTATTAAATGGTAATGTATCAGTCAATGTATCTTCTCCAATTAATTCACAGTCTAAGTAGAATTTAATTTTTTTACTATAATTGTCTTTTCCACGAATTTTTTGCCATATAGAAGATGATTCTTTTTTAACAATTAATTCAATTTGAAGACGATGCCAATTTCCATCATAAATCTCAAAAAAAAAAAAAAAAAATAGAAAATTTTTTTTTTTATTATAAATCATAATGTGATTTTATTTAAATTTACATCAACATCTTTAATAATTGCTCTAGCATCTTGATAACCATTTTTTGAATTCCAAATATATGTAATAATTTTACCAGAATTAATATTAATTGATTGTAAATCATCATCTTTATCATTTCTTAATTGTAATAGAGTCATTTGACCTTCAATATTGCCTTTATGCCGAAAAATGATTTCAAATACAAAATTCTTTGAATCTGATTTTTCAGTAAATGATTCTGGTATTTTAACAAAACGTTCAACAGGATTATTAAATCGATAAAAAATTGCATCATCTTTTGGTTTATCATTTTCTTTATTGTTTGTAGTTGCAGTATTTGCAGGAATATTTTGTTCATATTTTCTACCAAAAATTGGGGTTAATTCCAATGGTGAAACAACATTTTTATTTATTGTAGATTTTGGTATATCACATGATTCACCATCTAAACTTTCTGGAAGTTTTTGTTTCATAATTTCATATTTTTTTAATTCCATCTTCAAAAATTAAAATTATTTTAGTGTTTAAGAATGAATTTTATAAAATTTTAATTTAATTTTTTAAATTACCATCACAAATTTGGTGTCATCTTCAAAAAATGAAAAAAATACCATTATACTTTTCTCAAATAATTTTAATAAGGTTAATTGATCTTCTCGTTGAACCAATTTCTTATAAACAATATCACAGTCAAGCCAAATTTCCATAAATTCATTTGAAATTGACATATTCATTTTATGCCATTTTAAATCTGTAAATAATTGCTAAAATAAAATAAAAATATTAGAATATGAATATGAAATTATTCTTATTCAATAAAATAAAAGAATATCCGCATTGGAAGAGTAAACATAATTGCATGGGTACAATATGAATAGCAATTTAGATTAAGCTTATAACTTAAAAATGGAATATTCCGATAGTGAATGATAAATTCTACGAGTGAATGTTTTAAATTAAGGGGCTGAAAATAATGAAAACTGTTGTTGAACGTGAATGAAATTTTTAATTATGTATTTTGCAACAGCGTAAACACACCTTAAGTATAAAAAGCTGAGAATAATATCACTGTGCTTGTTAACAACTTTTTTTTTAATTTTAATTATAATTAAGCTACCGAAACAAAATTTGAATATAAATAGATTAAAATATATCTGCGGCTACTGAGCAGAGCTTATTATAATAATGTCGAGCATTGACATATATGTATATAGGTACTAATCTTATCAAATCACCTAAACATTTAAAAACTCTAAAAAAATATGTATTTAAAAATCAATTTCAAAGAGGATTCAAGAAGAAAATAAAATAACGTGTAGGTAAATAAAGCTGAAATGAGTTTTAAATTTATTAAAGTTGTTCTTGATTTGGCTCCATTTATTAACAACTGATTTTAATCGAACAAGTTCATTGATTTAATTATTATCTTGAATTCTGAAATTTTCGCAAATTTATTAAATAAATATATACAGAAAAATTTCGTAAAAAAACGTAAAAGGTTGTTATTCGTATTTTAATATTTTGTTGGTTAAGTTAAATTAAGATTACTGTAGAAATGGAGTGATTAAATTTGAAACCAAAAAAAAACAGCCATTGAAATCGAATTTGATTAATGAAATTTTACGACATTGAATTTGAATAAACCTAAAGAACATTCACCTTAATGTCTTACTCAAACAGAGTTATTCACCCTTCCTTATACTCTTATTTCTTTTGGAATTAATTAATAAATTAATTTATTTAAATAATAAATTTAAGTGAAACAAATGGTTTTCAAAGAAGCCCATTTCATTTAAATAAGTGGAAATTTGATTTTTAAAAATCTACAGCTACGGTATTGAAATTACTTTATTCCAATTCCATACATTTAGGATAATACAAAAAAATATTGAAAGAGGCGTTAATTCAAGGGTTAATTGCGTGAGTTCAGAAAAATAATTATACTTTTTTTTATGGCGGGGTATTTACCTTTTTGCTTTTACTAAAATTTCCAAAAGCTTGTAGATATTATAGAAATTTTTAGAGGCTATAACTTGGTAGGGTACGAGTATGTATAGGTGGAAAAATTATCTCCCAATGTCATAAAATTGTCATAAGTTGTCATTTAGAATCACTTACGCAATAACTTTTAAAGGAATAAAAATTATTCCCTGGTACCTTCCCGGTAAGTAAAAACTTTTTTCAACGGAAAGGAGTTTTTACTAAAAATGAATTTCCGTCGTAAAATTTTGGCTTTCTGTCTCAGAGGCTGTGGAAATTTCGTAAAAAGGCACACGATCAAACAGATAGACGGACGGAGTGAAACTAAAAAGAACTTTTTTTAAAAATTTTTTTTTAAATCGAATTTTATAAATAAGAAAACCATTGAAGCATCAAGTAATAAATATCAAACTAAATGAAATAATTGCTCAAATACTGAAAAACTTTTTAGACTATACAAAATTAAATTGAATTTACTCATTCGCCAGGTTTAAATTTTAAAATCTAATAAATCTATTTATTGAGATTTTAAAAATTTAATTAAAATTTTAAAATTTAAATTTTACTCTATAATTTGAGAATAAATACTGTATACAAACTTACAGATTCTGTTTCATAACCATGGAAAAATCTTCGACTTTTACTTTTAACATTTTCTATTTCTAATATTGGTAAAATTAATTTTTCATTAACTTTTGAAAATGATAATTTTATATTTTCTTCATTAACACCTTTAATTTTAAGTAGATTTAATTTATCACCAAGAAATTTTGTTTCAAATCTAAATTCAATATCAATTAAAATTTCTTCATCACTTTTTAATAAATCATCAAAATTAACTGAAACATTTCTTTCACTAAATTCTTTTGTAACCTTATAAACTTCATAATCAATATTTTTTTTAATATAATCAATTTCATATTGTTTTAAAATATCAAATTCTTTAGCATTAATAATTGTTATTAAAAAAAATGTTACTAAAATATACCATGATAAAGCACATGCCATTTTGGTGTTTTTTTTTTTTTTGAAATTTAAATTTTATTCTAAAAAAAAAAATAAAATCTAATTTAAGCGTATAAAATATTTTTACAGTATTAACGCATTAAAGTGATCTCAACAACTAATTATAATAATAAAATACAAATTAATAAAATACTCTCAATTTTAATGCACAATAATAAATTCTCTGAAATATTAAAGTGATATTATTTGTACTCAATGTTATTGAATGAACAGTAAATGGCATGGTATGAATAACAAAACAATAATAAAAGTTGTTTTGCTCACGTACGTATGTACCTACCTACATGTATATAATATTTGTCATATAAAGTAATATCGTAGACTTGTAGAATTGTAGAGCAACATTTTATATACAATACAATAGTTGTTTTCATTTTCATTTCTCTCATTATAATTACTATGACCTCAACCTTTCATGATATTTTTATTTTTACTTGTTATGTATATGGAAAAAGTATACGTAAATAATAGTATATTTGATTATATTTAGATTAAAAATTTACATAGAAGTGAAATAAATTTTTATAGTATAATCTATGACAACTATAAGATAACTGGAGTTATTTAAAAATTAAAAACTTTGAAAATTGTGACCGCTCAACGCTCAACTCTTAGATTCTCTTAATTAATTCTTTCTTTTCTCTTTAAAATTAAATAGTCAATGGATTTGAATTTATTTAACAACAGTGAAATGTGAATTTATCATTTTATTTTACGTGCAGGGTAGTAGTGAATTACTCGTAATTATGCAGTAAATTATTGTTGCAGTACAATATTTGTAGAATAAATTTCAATTTTATTAAATACAATTAAAAGCCATAATGATCTTGAATCTCTAAATAAATCAATTTTTTTTTTTGAAATATGATTGAAAAAATCAAATTGAATTTAATCTTCATTCGTAATTTAAATTTTCCAAAAATTACAATGTTATGAGTTAGGTACGATTATGATATCAAATATTGTTCATGCCGAATATTGACATCGATTAATGGGGATACTTAAAGCACTTTTTACTTTTAAAGAAATTTATGCAGCATTACAACATTTCAACTAGATAACAAATAAATTTGTTCCTGCAACTATATAAACATATGTGTATATGTAATGTAAATTTTTATGATTTTCTTTAAGAATCTTATAAATTTCATTTGTTTTTACCTTTTTCAACATTATGGAGTTCGGAATTATTCATCTGTAATAGCACCAACTTACTGTCGTAAAATCTTGCAAGTCCTGTAAATTTTTTGCGTACTCCTTTGTTATTCCGATTGTTCACATCGGAAAGTATATACATATAACGTTTTGTATGCACACATGTATGTTCAATATTTTTCAGAATTTCTAATGTTGTTGTAAATATTGGCCATTGTAGAATATTTTCATCATTTTTTCCAATTGTATTATGTATTTTAGCTAAGGTATAAAACCTGCCTTCTTCATACTAATAAATTTGGTATTGAACGTTGACTTCCATATTATTCAAACCTAAATAAAAGTTTGTCGAATAAATACATATGTATGTATGAAATATTCAACAGAAATTTGTGTTTGTTTTCTCTCAAACCTGAAAAACTAATTGAAATAGTTCGGAATTCTGTTATAAACTTCACAGCTTCCATAATTTTTGCTTCTTCAGTCACATTTAATTGTTGTTCTTAAAATTTTTCTCATATCTATTAATTTTTATTTTCATTCATTTTCTTATTATTAATTTTACATATTTTAATTTTAATTTTTTCTATATTTTTCATAAAATGACTCTGATTGAATTAAAAAATTTTGATTTATAATATTTTTTCTGATTTTGAATTGAAAAGCAATTTTTAATTTTCATTTAATAAAAAAAAAAAATTATCCTCTTAAATATTTATAAATGAAAATGAAAAATACATGTATACTAAAATTGTGTAATTAAAATATAAATTTTGTTCGTATTCTAGTCTGGTAGGGTTTAGCTTAATGGTGTTATAATGGGAATCATTATTAGGTTAGATTATTGGTTAGGTTAGTTTAAGTTGTTGAAACGTTTTCCATGCGCATTATTTTCGAACCGCAACACGGCAATAAAGGTTCTGGGTAGTATCTTGTCCACTCTTGGTCCGGATTTAGGTCTTAATCTTTAAGAATTTTAAAATTTTGTCTTATAATATGAAATATGGGGACCTCAGTTCAAATCCAAATTTTACCATTTTAAAAAAAAAAAATTTTTTTTATACTTAATATTTTTTTTTTACAAAATTTTATAATTGATTTAGTTTTATATTAAAAATTTTGTTTTATGCTAGGGACTCCAGTTTGAATGCAAATTTTGCCTCAAAAGAGAAACATTTTTCTTGTAATTAACAAAATAAGTAAGAAATACGCAAGTGAGATATTTTTTTGTTCAAATGAGAAAATTGTATTGTATTAATTAAATTGTATTAATTGAAAAGGAAGAGAATTCAAAAGAATTTTAGTTTTATCCATTACTCAATTAATTACAGTTTGATGCAAGATTGATCTTAATAGAGGCTAAAAGTTTAGAAAATCTAAATACAAAATTTTCAATTAGATTTAAAACGCTTTTTCAAGGAATTTTTATAACACCTTTGAAGCTTTTAAAATCAATCAATTGAAAAAATTCAAATAATATGAGTAACGTCCGATAGTGCAGTGCTTGACTTAGTCGTTGCCTTTAAAATCAAAAGTTAAAAGTTAACTGCAGTTTTAAAGTGAGCTTAAAATTTAAGCAATAAAGTTAAGTTTATGAAGTGATGAATATTTGGTAATGAATATTCTATTTTAAATAGAAAGAAGATAATATCATCAAACTCTTTGAACATTTAAAGGCCTGACGAACAGAATTTGAAATTTACTAGTATTACAACCGTTTACATATTTACATTTCACTATATTTACAATAAAAATAAAAAAAACAATGCCGGTTCATAAAATTTTTAATTGTTATTAAAATATGACTCATATTTGTTATTAAAAGTTGTTGTTGTTCCAAGTTTATTCTGCAATAAAAAAATAATAATATTAAAATTAAAGAGTGATCACTTATATTAGAAAATATACTTACATATATATATGTATTAATATTCAAAGTTTGGAAATGTTCAAAAAGCAAATTGTTCTAAATTACTCAATAGAAGTTTCTGTTTACACCTGTTTTAAATAAATGTATGTAATAAGATTTTAAGAGAAATTTAAAAAATAATATATGTATAGAATTTCAATTTCAACAATGATTGTAGAAAATTCCTATTAACACTATTATTGAAATTTGTTTTTAACAAAAATACTATTGTTGTGCAGCTTCCAAGAATTTATCCGATTTATGAAGAAGTCCAATTGACTATTGCAAATGATGAATAATTTCAAAATTTGGGCAGAATTATTTATGGCTGGTATAGTGTGAATTAGTACATTTTCTTTGAATTAACGTTATGATTCAACAAATTGGTAAACAACAAATTCTAAAAAGTAAATAATATTACTGGTGTGGAAAACTGCGACTCCCGAGTCAAATGATAAATATACCCAAGTTCTATTTTAACTTCTGTGTTAATATATTTTAAAAAATTTTACTGAAAATGTTAAATTAAGTTACTTAAAATTAATGAAAATTATTTAATATAAAAATTTAATTCCATTTTAGTTAAGAATGATATGAAAGTTAAGAATGATAACTTTTTAATACAATTTAAATTTTGGCTCTCGAAAAATTTCAAATTTTCAAATAAGGCTTGAATCAACGAAGAGCTTGACCACCCCTCATATAATAAATTTTAATAAATCTCTGCGAATATGATATTTTTGCTTATCTTTATAAATTTAAGTAAAATATTTTTGTTGTGACCAAGCAAAATAAATCTAAAATTAATAATTATATTTTTAGAAATTCTTTTTATATTATATGTGATCTAAAACTTAAATTTAGATTATTTTTGTAGAATAGAAATTTTGAATTCGAATCACATAATCATATAAATCTTAATTGAAATGTATGAATTCCAAGCATGATTGTAAAATTGTTATTATTATGCCGGAAAATAGACTTGCGACACAGAATGTGGTTTTATAAAACTAAAACAATGAAATTGCTATGTATTTCGAAAAAATTAAGTACAAGATTTACATTAATTATTAATTCGAGATATACGAGAATTTTGGCACAAATTTTATTATTCATCCGAGAATTTCATACATGGTTCTACTACAGTTTAAATATCCCTGTGATCGAACTTGTAATAATATTGGATTAATGTAGAATTCAGGTGATAAATTCTAATTGCGGAATTGTATACTGTTTTATGACAATTCGGATGTCAAGGTATGTTAATAAAGTAAAATGTACGCAGTACTTCTAATATTTTAATGTAAATATTCACATAGTGTATATCCATAGTGTATATCCATAACATCCATAGTGTAAAATTTTCATACATTTGACATGTCCGCCTCACAAGTTGTTCAATTAACTTGCGACAACATTATTAAAATACACTGGTTCTAAAAAAAGAGCCAAATCAACTGAATTTAAAATGAAAGTGAAGAGGAAACAACATTTTCCGGTTGCTTCAATATAGCAATATTATGATACTATGTATGTATATACATACCCGTATGAACATATGTTTGAGAAATATACTAAATTTGCCTTACCGTTTGTAACGCTAAGGAAGCTGTCATACTACTTCAAAATTTATTTGTCTATATCTCAGAAACTATAAAAGCTATGGTATTGAAATTTCATACAAGCAAAGAC